CAACAAAACCATGAAAAGATGAAAACAGAATCTACAAGGAAAGGCAGAAGAGTCAGTTACCCAAGAATGTAGCTTCCTCCTCCTTGTTTTTTGCTCAAACTAACATTTATCAAAGACCTACAATTTCAGAAGAGGCCCTCTGTGTGTTACAGAGGACACCAAAAAGCTTATGAAAGACGTGGTTCTGCCTTTGCAGACCTCACATTCTTACTGAGAAGACATGGAGGAGGCTGAAATATTAGCAACAATCCTATTTTCATACCACTTATGTTCTAAGCACTTTCACATACATTTTCCAAAGCTCTTACATTGGGCAAGTATGATTTGTCCCTTTTTTGGGTCTCATTCTGTCACCCAGGCTGGAGTACAATGGCACGCTCATGGCTGCTGCAGCCTTGACCTGCTGGACTCAGGTGATCCTCCTGCCTCAACCTATCAAGTAACTGGAACTACAGGTGCGTACCACCACACCTGGCTAATTATTTGATTTATTGTAGAGACAAGGTCTTGCCAAGTTGCCCAGGCTGATCTCAAACCCCTGGGCTCAAGCAATCTTCTCGCCTCTGCCTCCCAAAGTGCTAAGCTTACAAGCATGAGCCACCACGCCTGGCTGATTTGTCCCTTTTTATAGATGAGAAAATGAACAACTGATCTGAGAGATTGTCTCAAGAGCAGAAACAAGTAAATAGATGTCACCTTCATGTCACCCTATAGCCACCACATGGGTAGATTATGATACACTTTTGGCTTTTTTGATGACACTTGCAAATGCTTTTGGGGCATTTACACTATATACAGGAAAGTGTTTGACTACCCACAGTTACTGCTATTACCAAGATTGATTTTTTTAAAAAAGTTTATAAAAGGAAGAAGGACATGGCAGGTCAATGGGGAAAGCAAGTGTGAATATGGATGGCATCACATACATTTTTAGCAAAGATTTTTAACTACAAAAACCAATGTTCATTATAGAAAACTTTGTTTCTACAGAAAGATTGGAAGAAAACGATCTGCACTCTCATCCACCAAAGAAAAGCAGTGTTTAGCAAACCCTTCACATATTTCTAAGATCATATACACACTATAAAACTAAAACTTTGCCATTCACCTTAAGCTTTTGAAGATTCTTCAGCTCCAAATATCTAAGTGGTCACAATAACTTGTTCTTTTTCAATCTACAACATATTATAGCTGACAACGACAAAGACACTAAAAGCATTCATGCTTGAGGTTTCTCAATTATATTTTGGAAATGAAGCAGGGATGAATGGAGGGCTGGGGAAGTGTCCTTACAGGATCTATTAGCATCCCACCAACAAAAATATTTGATCCTGCCTACCGCAAAGAGTCTGGTGCTGTGACTGGAGCCTTTGATCTTGTGTCCACTCCACATATGGTGTTACTAAGCATAATCAAAGTGCAAATCTTCATAGAAAATTACAGAGACTCTGAAAGGGGGATGGATGCTTCCTTCCTCTAATTTCCTTTCCTGCCATGTTCCTGGTCTTAAGTGAAAAAAGATTTGGCCTTTTGATGAAATCTGCAAACACTTTTAGAGTATTTACACTGTATATAGTCCATTATCTAACTGTCTGAGATTATTTCCACTACTGAGATTGACAGTGCTTCTTGCCAGGCTAGAGCTAGTTTTCAGTGGCATGGGTATCAAACTGCCTCCTTTACTTTGGCCCTATACAGTGACATTAGAATAAGAAGACATCTATAGCTCCAGGAAACAGGGGCATGGCACATTCACATCTAGATTTTGATAGCAAATCTTTGAAAATTTATAAGATGAATTGTTAACCCTTTAAGACAAACCTCTTCAAAAGAGGTAAAGGTGACTCCCAATAAATATTTTTAAGGCATTAATTAAACAATTCAGATCAAGTTGTAAAAAAAAATAGTAATCTTTTAAGAATTAATTCCCTAGCCAGGCATGGTGGTTCATGTCTGTAATCCTAGCACTTTAGGAGGCCAAGGCAGGAGGGCTGCTTGAGGCCAGGAGTTCAAGACCAGCCTGGGCAACATAGTAAGACCATCCCCCCACAAAATAGAAAATAACGCAAAATTACCTTCAAATATATCTGTCGTTCCACAAAGAGAGTGGGAGACAATTTCTGATTTATAAATTGAAAACAAAACTCACATTTTTGACAATCATCTTTGCCCTCTTGTCAACATACCCTCACTAAGTTTAAGTGACCTTGATGAACTTGGACTCAGAAAAGCAAACCCCAGGCAAATTTGCAGTTTGGAAGCTTTTAGATTCAGAAAGGTTCTGTGTGTTGTTTCTCATAGTTACTGATTATTGTAACCAAGCTTTATGAAAACTATTTTTAATAACATCATTATCAAGAAAAAAGAGAGATATCTAAAGCATCATTCAGAAAGTTTAATCAAGTACAGGCAAGCCCACTTGCAGCTGGTAGACACTGGTGTGGCTGAGTTGTTGCTCATGGCTGTTGTTTCCAGACTGGTCAGTACCCTAATGGTACCAGCTGTTAAATATTTGACTATCACCCAAACTGGTCTCATTAGTTGTAAGTATTAGTCATATATCAACTTGGAGCCTACCAAGGTCCATCTCAAAAACCTTGGGTCAGCCAGGTGCAGTGGCTCACACCTATAATCCTAGCACTTTGGGAGGCCAAGGTGAGTGGACTGCCTGAGCCCAGGGGTTCAAGACCAGCCTAGACAATTTGACGAGACCTCAGTCTCTACAATTAATAAAAAAAACTAGCCAGGTGTGGTGGTGAGTGCCTGTAGTTTCAGTTACTTGGAAGGCTGAGGTAGAAGGATGACCTGAATCCAGCAGATCGAGGCTGCGGTGGCCATGAGTGTGCCACTGCACTCCAGCCTGGGTGACAGAGTGAAACTCCAACTCAAAAAAACCCACAAAAACCTGGGGTCACAAGCCAGTGGTTTAGGTTGGGTTTGCACTCCACCATTATAGTGACAGAACATTGCAGAAGTTAGCTAACCTCTCTAGCTCTTAGTATCCTCTCTTCCAAATGGGGGATATTAATAATCCTCACCTAATTCCTTCATGAGATTTAGATTGATATTAAAACCAGATATATGAAAACTTTTTAAAATTTTAAAATGATTTCAAAGAAATGCATAACATTTGTACATCAGTTAGAAAATGCTAAAAAGTAGAGTGAAAACAATTACTTATTTTTTTATCACCTAAAGATAACAGTTAATATTGTTTATTTTCTTGGTTTGTTTCTCTTGCTTATTTTTATGAAAGCTTTGACAATTCAACAACGGTTGCTGAGTGCTATAAAAATGAAATAAAACGTGGCAATTGCCCTTCCAGTGTGGCATGGTTATAAATGGCGAAATAAATATTATTAGTGTAGTATGTAGAAATCCAAATAAAAGAACAGCAGAAAGTTGCATCATAAAATACAATTACCAGTCTGGTTCCTAGAGATGACAAATATTTTAGTACTTAAGAGTAAGGTATAAAAGAAATACTTTTAACACTTGAGCATTTCCTTAAGCCACTGACTTAATCCCATTCTAGGGAAAGACAATAGTATATTACTGCTATAAAATTTCAGTTACATATAAACAAACTCCATACTGTAACCATAAACAGTATGCGGATTTGCCTTGTTTCCTAAGTCATTATGCTCAGTCAACATCTGCCTTTCCTTTCTGGCTTGCCAGAAGTGCCTGCAGTTTTCACTGTGTTCTTGTAGATACACAATCTGTTTATACATGTAGGTTTCAAAGTATCAGGCTTCTTTGAACTGATGGATAAGGATCTTCCTTGGACATAAAAATCCAGAGTGTTGGAAGCATTCACTTTGTAGATGGCCTGAAACACATCTGGTGTTCGCCTGCCACAAAGGTACTGTTTTTTGTTTTAGTTGGGGCTCACTCTGTTACCCAGGCTAGAGGACAGTGGGATGATGAGGGCTCACCACAGCCTTAACCTCCTGGGCTCAGATGATCCTTCCACCTCAGCATCCTGAGTAGCTGGGACTATAGGCGTACACCACCATGTCCAGCTAATCTTTTTTTTTTTTTTTGTAGACATGAGGTCTTGCTGTGTTACCTAGGGTAGTCTGGAACTCCTGAGCTCCAGCGATCCTCTCATATTAGCCTCCCACAGAAATTTCAGGCACAAGCCACCACACTCAGTCACATTGCAGGTTTTAGTTCTTTCGTATTTTCCTCTAAAAAAGTAATTGCTATGACAGCATACCATCTTCATTGTATATAATTAGGATGGCATGATTCTCCTAGATTATTACCTTATATAAATTCATCTCTCCACCCTTGCATGGGCCTCATCTTACTCCTCTTATCTCCTGCTGCCCAGCAAAGGAGATACTGAATGTCTCAATAAACCCTTAAAAATTCTAGTCTGATGGTGCCTAAGCTTGAGTCCTCACCAGACAATACCTGAGAATGTGCTAAACAAATTTCTAGACCCTATTCTGAAAGTTCCAAATCAGATTCACTGGGGGTGGGCCTAGGATCCTGTATTTTTAAAAAACCTCCACTGTAAAATGGGGATACTAATCATTTCTGTCTCACTAGGTAGTTAAGGAAATAAGTTATTTTATATAGCATGCTTAGATCACTACCTGGCCCTCATTAAATACTACCTAAGTGTAAGTTATTACTATATTATTGTTGTTATGATATGATCAGTCAATCATAAATAGGTGTTTTGAAGAACTGCCTATTTGTTTTCTCAAACTGATGCATGCATAAAAATCATCTGGTGAGTTTATAAATGCAGATGTTGTGGCTTTGCTGCTCAGAGACTCTGACTTAATAAGGCTAGTTCCTAGCTGGAGACCTGCATTTCTGTATTTCCCAAATGGGAAAAAATGGAGAACTGGTAGGTATTCTGTAAATCTGTGGATGTCTCCTTCCCATCCCTGATTCCCAAGGAAAAGAAACTTGTCTCTCAGGCTGGGACTAAGAGCCAGCTCATTTAGATAGAGAAACAACTTTTGGGGTCATTTGTTAACATGGGGACCACTGGGGACTCTCCTGCTTCCAACTTCACCTGTGTCAGGGGCCATACTGCCACCAGTAGTATGGGGCCAGGCAGGGTTGGTTCACAGGAGCAAGGAAACAGCTGCCATCCCTGCAGACTGCCCTGGTAAGCTCCAGAATGCTGCTCCAGCAGGGTTTGGTCAGCTCTACCTCTCACCACTCTCCCTATTCGCTAGGGGTTACCCAACCAGATCACTCTTCCTCCAACCCATCCTGCGCCAGGGCAGTGTCTGGGCCAACTCCCACCAGTTTCAGGGGCTGCCAAAGACATAGCCTGAAATCTTTCACACCTCTGTTGCTGACATCCAAGAAGACCACAGGAGACTTGGGAAGACACAGGTGTACAACCAAGGCAAGCCCAAGAAGATTCCATGCCTGGGCAAGAACACCTGAGAATGTTTACACCACATGTATGTGTAACAGAACCAGCCCAAACTTGTTTGTGCTTCTGATCTCTGAAACTACCCTCTACTACACTTGGGATTTAAAGTGCAAACTTCCCAAAAGTGAAATGACGAAGCTCTTGTTTCTCTCATGAACAGCATTCCTTCTGGATTTCCAGTTGTGATTATGCAAATTATACATTCAAGCGTAATCAATACTTGAATCTCCTGGAATCAGAACAAGCCTGAATCCACCCATTAACAAAGACATTACAGAGTTAAGAGACAGTCATTTAACTAAAGACAATTATGTCCTTGCTTTCACTAAAAGTATTGCTTTTTATAGAAAATTAGGCACAGCCTATGTTATAATAAAGTAGAATTTACATTTCTAAAAAATGGTTTCCTTCAAACTCCTGTAATCTTCCTCCTTGTTCTTTCAAAATGAAAGTACATTTCTTTTCTCCCCTTCCCAAAATGCTACATATAGACAGGCCTGTCCAAAATGTGAGAAGCCCAGGGTTAGAGAGTGAAAGGAGGTCCCTGGCCCACCTCTCTCCTTTGAAACTCTGGCTCCTGTGTTACCAGGAATCTCCAGGGGGCCTCCCAGTGGAAACCCCAGGGCTCATCTCGAGATTCTTTTTGCACAGCTGCCCCTTGGTCTTTCAGTGGTCTTAGGAATATATATACTTGTGGCATGACTGGCCCCTAGGGAAGCAGATGGAAAAAGGCCTATACAGACTTAGGCAGTTAAGCAAAATGCTAGGGCCCAAAGAACCCTGAGCAGAGTGAGGGTGTGGGCTGTAGGCAGGCAGGCCCCCTTTGGAGACCTGAAATCCTGCTCTTAGGGGGAGCAGCACAGCCAGAGGACTGGAACACAGCCCTCTAAAGCACAAGGTCTGGGTCAGGCCTTCATTGTTCTGGTCTGTGAGAGATGTATAAGTAGTATCTAGGTGGTGCCTGTGTATGTGTTACCGTGATCTGAATGTTCTATCCACATGCCTTGTACACATCAAGGACCTAGAAAGCAAGAACTAGGTAGACAACATTTTCTTTGTATAGCACTTACTTTGTTTATTTAGGCAGAGATTCCTCTTGAAGTTGCAGTGCAAATATAATGACATCAACTGCCTGCTGAAATCCTTAACGGGGAATAAGGGAATGTTTACTTCAAGTCGTTGTACACCAGCTTGGTTGGATGATACTATTTTTTTTTTTGAGTTGGAGTCTCACTCAGTCGCCCAGACTGGAGTGCAGTGGCCGCTCCCGGCCACTGCAGCCTCGACCTGCTGGGCTCCAGCGATCCTTCCGCCTCAGCCTTCCAGTAGCTGGAACTACAAGTGCACGCTACCACGCCCGGATAATTTTTTTTTTGATTTATTGTAGAGATGAGGTTTCACCTGCCCAGGTGGGTCTCGAACCCGCGGGCTCAGGTAATCCACTCAGGATGACACTATTAAAGAATGTAAATGTTAATAAATCTCACCCCAAAGATGCAGATAGAAGATCTGGGAGTTCCTAAGTTCTTCTCTCACACGTGTCCCCAGGCTTCACCTCCTTGGGTGATTGCTCACCTTCCTCTAGGAAATACTGCTCACCTCTCAAACTCAGCACAGGCTCCTCCTCTTCTGGAGCCTCCTCACGCTCTCAGCCCAGAAGCCCCTCGGCTCTCATCTCCCAGTATAATCACTGCACTTGACTTCCCTCCCTTCAAAGCCAAGGTCCCTGCTCACCCATGAAGTCTTCACTGACCATGCTGCCTACAATCTCATCTTTCTCTAAATTCTGAATGTGCCTCTATCTTTTGCCCATATAAATTGCTGAATTAGGCAACTACCATCAAACATTGGAATTATTAAAAATCCACCTGTATCTTTGCAGCATTCTCATATCACTGCCTCATATTACTATATATATATATATTTTTTTGAGTTGGAGTCTCACTCTGTCACCCAAACTGGTGTGCAGTGGCCACTCCCAGCCACCGCAGCCTTGATCTGCTGGGCTCCGGCGATCATTCCACCTCAGCCTTCCGAGTAGCTGGAACTACAGGCGCGCGCCACCACGCCCGGCTAATTTTTGATTTATTGTAGAGATGAGGTCTCGCCAAGTTGCCCAGGCAGGTCTCGAACCCGTGGGCTCAGGCAGTCCACTCACCTCAGCTTCCCAAAGCGCTGGGAATGCAGGCAGAGCCACCGAGCCTGGCTTTCATATTACTATTTAACCTTTCATTGCAGTGCCCTTCCCACTAGACTGTCAGCTCCTTGAGGTGAAGATCTGTCTTTTTAAAGAAAATGTCCATGCTGTTGCAGAGTAGCCCTCAAAAATTACATTTTCTGAACACCTTGGGTGGAACGAGGGGCCTTATTTTTAGCAAAATGGTTTGCATTAAATAAATAGTAATTAACCGCTATCCCTTGTCCATTCTCATTCTAAGCAGGGGCATCCCCCAAAGGGGCCATTGATTAAATGTTCCATTCCTTATGGATAATAAATGATAATACCTCTCTAACTAAGCCAGGTCTGAGCACCGTGGGGCCTAAAGACTTTGAAGATCATCGCAAGCCCAGGCATAAATCAAGAAGGCCCTGCAGGGAGCAGTTATCCGGAGGGTCTGTGGAGGTTATTATATCTATGCACACGTGCGGAGCCTACCCCAAGGGCTCTAAGACTGGAGGAGAATTAATGGGACTGAATCACCAAAATCTGACGGAGACACTTTGACGGTGGCAGAACCAGTTCTGAGATTTCTTCATGCTCTTGCCTACAGCGGATCAAGTCCTCAGTTCAGATACCTGAGGGGGCGGTGCCTCTCCCCAGCTACCAGCACCACGACACCGAAAACCCAAGCAGTCTGGATGGGTTGGCCTGGGCTCTTCCGACAGTAGCCCACGGATAGCCGTGGCCAGGCAACCTCGTGCTCCCCCAAACTTCCTGGAGAACGCTGGCGGACTTCGTGTTGCCCGAGCTTTCCGCAGGGTGGCACCTGGAAGACTGCAAGTGACTTAAAACGAGGAAGGCGAGGCGCGCTCCCACTGCTCGGAAGCGGCTGGTGTGCTCGCCTAAAATAAAAAGGTCTCTGTCTGCAAATCCCGTTTGCTCGCCCGGTAATCCTCCCCCGCCCCCAGCCTAGCGTGTCCCCCCCGTACAGCTGTTTTTAATCCCTACTTTTCTCACTCGGCGTCCCCGGCTCGGGCTGACCAGACGCGGAGCCACTTAGCGTTTCCTCCTCCCCCTGCCGGGGTCTGTCCTCCCTCCGCCGTCTCCTCTTTCTCCGCCTGCGTCCCCCGGGGCAGAGTGTGGGAAGAACGAATTTCCGCCGGGTTTACTCGCTCCTCGCCGACTTGGGTCCCTTCCGGA